GATATATATATATAAATAGAGAGAGAGAGAGAGAGAGATACATAGGGCCATATTCTTCAAAATGTGACACTTTTGGGGTGGCGCCTGTGGCTCAAGTGGCTAAGGCGCCAGCCACATACACCTAAGGTGGCGGGTTCGAATCCAGCCCAGGCCCTCCAAACAATAATGATGGCTGCAACCAAAAAATAGCCAGGCGTTATGGCAGGCGCCTGTGGTCCCAGCTACTTGGGAGGCGGAGGCAAGAGACTCGCTTGAGCCCAGGAGTTGGAGGTTGCTGTGAGCTGTGATGCGACAGCTCTCTACCCAGGGGGACAGTTTGAGGCTCTGTCTCAAAAAAAAAAAAAGAAACACTCTTGGTGCTTGGGAGGTGAATTCCTAGTGAGAGGCAATAAATTTAGGATTAAGGTGATGATAAGCAATTTATGTTCATATCCTTATGTCATACTGTATATAAACAAGTAAAGATAGCGCTTCAGATCCTTACAGCCCCATTTGGGTCCCGTTCCCCACCCCCCCCACCCCCCCACCCCCGCATTCTGTCCCATGCACAGCCCATTTCTGCTAAGTCATGACTCAGAGAATAAGCCTCCAGAGAAGAGGCCCCACAGCGCTTAGACAATAGGAGCAAAAAAAAGTCAGACCTCTTCTGTCCTATTATTTACTAGTGAGGGGAAATAAGCATTAAAAAACTAAGGATGAACTGTCAAGAATAGGCAAATCTGGCTCGGCGCCTGTGGCTCAAGCGGCTAAGGCGCCAGCCACATACACCTAAGGTGGCGGGTTCGAATCCAACCCGGGCCCCGCCAAAACAACGACGGCTGCAACCAAAAAATAGCCAGGCATTATGGCGGGCGCCTGTGTTCCCAGCTACTTGGGAGGCTGAGGCAGGAGACTCGCTTGAGCCCAGGAGTTGGAGGTTACTGTGAGCAGTGAAGCCATGGCATTCTACCCAGGGTGACAGTTTGAGGCTCTGTCTCAAAAAAAAAAAAAATTAATAACATGGATGTTGCAACATTAAGAATTTATATTCTGTGAAAGACCATGTTCAGAGAAATTCAGAGCATAAAAAGACAAGCCTCAGCTTGGCGCCTGTAGCTCAAGTGGCTAGGGTGCCAGCCACATACACCTGAGCTTGTGGGTTCAAATCCAGCCCAGGCCTGAGAAACAATGACAACTATAACCAAAAAATAGCTGGGTATTCTGGCAGGCACCTGAACTCCCAGCTGCTTGGGAGGCTGAGGCAAGAGAATCCCTTAAGCCCAAGAGCAAGTAGCTGGGACTACAGGTGCCCACCACAACACCCAG